CTCGCGCGGGCAGTGATGCCGTGTAAGGCGCCGTCGGGCCGCGACCGCGGAGGGCGAGCCCAGGGCCTGGGGGAGACGAGGGGTCCCTGCCCTCTCACCTGCGGCTCGCAGCGTTTGGCGCAGTAGGACGCGGGTGGTCCGGCCCGCCGCTGGCGCCCGTCCTCGAATACTGAGTCCTCGAACTCGCAGCCGACCAACCAGCACCCGCTCTCCATAGCGCGCCCGCAGCCGGGACAACGAGACGGGGCGGTGCCTAGACCGGATCCCACGTGCAGGCTGACCCGGAAGGGGAGTTGCCCCCAGGGCCCAGAGCCCAGAGCGCGGCATGCTGGGACTTGTGGTCTTTGAAGGGGCCAAACGGGGACGTGGCGCTCTTCGGGCTGGGAGTCGCGGTTGAGATGAGATTTTTTTGTCTGACTCACAAACTTGCAGAACCTGACAACACAGGGCTTCATTTATCCGTGTCTGGAGATGCACAGAGCGACCCTTACCTGCGCACATCAAAAGCACTGGCCCCGGGGTAGCTGTTTAAAACTCGTAGGTGTTGACGATACTCCTGGCACGGTGCTAAGCACTGGATTTGCACTGTCTCTCGCTCTCCTAACCGCAGATTTATAACAGGCACAATTATACCTTTTTCCAGTTGAAGAAATTGAGGTTTAGATTAAGTAACTTGCACTTAACATGCATTATCTCTCCATAAACGGCACAGGGATTCCCATTTTGTAAATGAATCGGGGCTTAGAGAGATTAACTTGCTCAAAATCAGCTATTGCGTGGGTAAGAGCTGGAAAATATGGAAACGAGTAAGTATTCCCCTTGTCTCTGGAGAAGAGACACCACCATCAATAACAAAGAGCAATTCGCGCATTTATAAACCAGAAGACATAGAAATTTACTGGGGGGTGGGGGAGGTGTTTCCATCAGGGATCATTAATTCGGCCTGGAGAAAACCACCAAATCTCAGAATTCTAAGATTCACATTTACTAGAATTTCATACTTCCAAGATACACCTTGAGACTAGAAAGCAGAGACTGTTGACAAATAACATATTGGCCAATATTACACAGCACAATATTACTGCGCCATATTACACCAGTACCAAAAACCAGATACCTTGGAGTTGATTCTGACTCACGGCGACCCCATGTGTGTCACAGTAGAACTGCGCTCCATAGAGTTTTCAGTGACTGATTTTTTTGGAAGTAAATCACTAGGCCTTTCTTCCAAGCCACCTCTGGGTGGACTCCAAGTAACCTCCAATCTTTGAGTTAGCAGCCTAGCACATTAACCATCTCCATTACCCAGGGATATTACAAAGCAAGTAGTAAACATGGAGGTATTCCTTGGTTTTCTTCCTATTTCTCCTCATTCTCTTTTAGCAGTTCCTCTTCCACTAATTGGTGTTCCTTGAAATTTGTTCCTCAGGGCTCTTTCTTCATCCCAGTTTTCTACTTCATGAACTCGTCTAGAGGAACCTCATCCACCCCCATCAGAGATTTCAAAATCCATCACTTTTCTGATGACTCCTAAATCTATAACCCGCCCCATGCACTGGCCTTGGGTGGGGGCTCCCCCTGGACAGGCTCTGAGCATTATCTACTGATGAATTCAAGATGCAAGGACCATAAAAAAGAAGGTTTGTTTTCCCATCAGAAATGTAACAGTCCTTACTATGAAAAATTTGGAAAGTAAAAAAGGTGTCCATAGTATCATCACCCAAAAGTAATAAATTTTAACAGGAGGTGGAGATGTTTGCCCTAATTCTAACATACCCTGTCCTAGCAGAAGATGCAACAGAGCATAATGTCAAAGAGCCTCAAGCAGCAGACTTGGGGGAATTTGTGATCTTGGTTCAGCTGTGTGACTCGCTTTGTATGAAGGGTATTGGTTCAAATAATTCCTGTAAAGGGCCTGTCAGATAGCAAGTGTGTAATACATGTTGACAAGGAGCCCTGGTGGTGCAATGGTTAAGCGGTCAGCTGCTAACTGAAAGGTTGGTTTGAAGCCGCCCAGTGGCTCCACAGGAAAAAGACCTGCTGATCTGCTCCCATAAAGATTACAGCCTAGAAAACCCTCTGCGAAGTTCTACTCTGTCATATAGCATCGCTGTGAGCACACCTCGACAGCACACAACTACATGTTGACAGACATGGGGCTCAGATTAAGTAACCTGCACTGAATATGCACTAACTACAGTGATTCTCGTTTTGCAAATGAAGAAATCAGGGCTTAGAGAGGTTAACTAACTTGCTCAAGATCAGTTATTACATGGCTCTGGGTGCACATTAAGAGCAAAGCAAAGACAAGCAAGGGCGATTTCTTCCAGCTTTTCCTTTTTGAAGGCTGTTTAGTTCTGGA